CTTTCAATTAATTAGCATTTTTTTATTGGTTCTTGAAAGGATCTTTATAAATTACACAAATCATAAATTGCATCGGTGGTCTCATAGTAACATGTATGTCATAAGTGAAGGAGGTCAGGGGTTTATTCCGCTGCTAGGTCAAATCAAAGACTATAAAAATTGAATCTGCTGTTTCTCATTGAATTATGTGGTATTTAGGAGTACAGAAGCAGATAATGTGTTTGATGGAAAAAATTACAGAATTCAACGACACATAGAATGCAAAAGTGCACACATTGTAATGTCTTGCCTGCTTTACTGACCATGATAATTTTATGTTGAATATCTTAGATAAAAGTTTACTACAAGTATCACATAAACTTAACATTTTCAAAGATCCACGACAATAAGGTCAAGGTCAGATCATAGTAAACCCTGTCAGACGCACATGTACACCTTACAGTGATTCCATACACCAAATATAGTTGACTTATTGCATATAGTATCCAAGAAACAAACCAAACCATGAAAATTAAGTCAGATGTCACATGCCAGACAGACATGCACACCTTACAATCATTCAATGTGCCAAAAAAAGTTGACATATTTCTTATAGTATCGAAGAAACCTACTTAACCAGGAAACTAAACATTTATTAATGAACAATGTGAATGAGGTCAAGTATAGATGAACCCTGTCAGACAGACATGTACACCTTACAGCCATTTCATAAAACCACATACAGTTGACGTCCCTACTGCTAATAGTATCTGAAAAATGGATCAAATAACCTAGCTTTAACCTTGTTCACTGATCCATGAAATGAGGTCGAGGTCAGATGAACCCTGTTTGTCGGACACGTATACATTGCAAGGTACCCATATACCAAATATAATTATCCTATGCTCATAAGAAGTGAGAAATTCACATGACAAAAAATTATAAACATTTGTTTAAGCAGTAATTTTATCAGGAAAATGAAGTCAAGGACAATTGACATATGACAGACAGAAATTTCGTAACATGAGGCATTTGTATAAAAGGTATGAAGCATCCAGGTCTTCTACCCTCTGAAATATAAAGCTTTATACAAATAGTTTACGCTGCTGCTAGATAGTTATTCCTATGTCTCATATACTGAGACTTTTGTCGCAGGTGAATCAAAAATGAGAAGCTTTACATGTCTACTTGCAGACTGTTATCTTGTGAACTAGAATGTTAATATCTGACTCAGTGTGTTTGTCTGTACAGTACATAGCGGGGTTCATATTTGTATCAAATTACCAAGTTATTGTCATGAGAATATTCATGTAATAACTGCCACTGGGTGGCTGGTGGTTTATGCCACAGGGTAGTGATATGCGTCAAATGTAGTAGCAAGTCTATGATTTGTTTACCCACCGATAGCTAACATACTTGCTGTGTGAGAAGAAAGCCGAGTGTGTATGTCTTTCCTGCCAGTGCATAGCCTCTACACTACCAAGACTCCTGCAGTGCCTCCCGATGACAGTGCATGTAAACTGGGGTCTAGTTCCTCAGGCTAAACTGCAGAAGATCTCGGAGCAGCAAGGATCCCAGAGATGCAGTGTGTAGGCCCATCGATGTGTGGACACGCCCTAGCACTCACCAACCTTGTTCCAGCTATGGGTTAGTAGTCTGTTAGATGAGAGTCGTAGCCCAGTAAGATAACTCATCTAGGAGAATGTAAACTTCGAAAACAAACCTGGATAGAACGGATTCATTAGCTCAGGACAGAAGCCCTTCTAGAGGATGGAAACCTTGACCACAAATTCCCTGGCCCTCTGGGTTGAAGAGTTGGGCATGGGGTTAACTCCCCCATCCTGTAAAAACTATCACAGTTACAGAAACCACAACAAATGAAACTAGATTACCCTCAGTTATAGGTTCAACGGGAGACTCAAACAACAGCGGAATGACTTCTAGTGAAACCCATATTGTGGAAACTAGGAAAATGAATATGAGTCTCCTAGGGCCTAAAGCACAAAGACATATATATAGGAGCCTGGAATGTACGAACTATGTATGAATCATCAAAGACTGCACAGATCATTAAGGAAATGCAGCACTGCAGGTTGAACATTCTTGGAGTGAGCGAATGTCGTTGGACTGGATCAGGAAAGACTAGAACAAATAGTGGAAACATCCTACACTCTGGACACAAAGACAGTCATATTAATGGTGTAGCAAAATTTATAAGCAAAGTAAAGGCAAAAACAATCCTAGAATTGGAACCAATCAGTAATAGATTAGTAACAGCAAGATTTAATTCAGACTACTGTAAGCTTTTTATCATCTAAAGTACCTCAACACGACATGCTGGTAATAATGAGAGATCTTAATGCAAAAGTAGGACCAAATAACGCTGATGCTGAAAATGTCATGGACAGGCATGGTTGCAGGGTGAAAAATGAGAATGGCGAACGTACTATCGATCTTTGTCTTTACAATAAATTGGTGATAAGAGGAATCATCTTTCCTCATATAAACATCCATAAACTAACATGGAAATCACCGGGTGGAAGAACAGTAAACCAGATTGACTGTGCACATATTGGTGAACAACAAGTGGCGTAGATCATTAAGAGATGTACGAGTACTCAGTGGTGCAGACGTAAATAGTGATCACCATCTACTGAAAGTAAATTTCAAATAATCTTCGCTAGCCAAGGGTTACGATTCAGTCCCCTCCTCTCCAGGGGGACTGGATCGTAACCCTTGGCTAACAAAGACGCCTTCAAATCAAACCTTAGAAAGGCACCAACTGAAAATCAGAACAGAAAGAGACTAGACACAGCAAGGCTGAAGTCACCAACTGTCAAGAAAGCATGTTGCTTAGAATTGAAAAATCGGTTTAGTGTGCTAGATAACTCTAATGATGGAGAAGACAGTATTCAAGAGAAGTATAACATCAAGGATATTTATGTAAAGACTGCAGAAAAGACAGTTGATCACACGACAAAAAAAGAACAAAGATTGGCTAACACAGGAAACCTGGCAAAAAATTGAAGAAAGAAAAACTATATAACAGAAAATAGTAAATGCAAAATCCGAAAGGTTACAAGATCAACTACAGGTAACATACAGAACAAAAGACAAAGAAGTGCTAGAAAAGATAATAGACAATGTATGGAGGACCGACCAAAGAGACAGAAAAGGCATCCATTCTGGGAGAGTTAAGTACAGTTTACAATATCACCAAACAACTTTGTGGAAAATTAAATGTCCAGACAGCCCATGTAAACGACACAAATGGCAATTCATTGCGAACAGAACGGGGACAAGCAGAAAGGTGGGTCCAACATTTCAAAGAGGTATTAAACTGCCCTAAGCCTGATGACATAGCTAATCCTGAACCATCAGAAGATGATTTAAACATCAAAACAGAACCACCAACTACAGAAGAAGTAAGAAATGGCATTAAATCATTGAAAACAGACAAAGCACCAGGCATTGATTCCATCCATGCAGAGATGTTAAAGGAAGATTTAAATACATCGTCCAAGGTACTTCACAATCTTTTCCTTGTCATCTGGAAAGAAGGGGACATACCATTGTAAAATTACCAAAGAATGGTAATCTACGCAACTGTGACAACTGGAGAAGGATTACATTACTTTCTGTCTCTAGTAAAATGTTCTGCAAAATTCTTCTAAAAAGAATTGATAAAATCGTATACGAGGAAGATTAGAAAAGAACAAGCAGGCTTTAGAAGAGGGAGAGGATGCATTGATCAAATGTTCACGCTCAGGAACATAATTGAGCAATGCATAGAATGGAACACACCACTTTTCATTATTATTTTTTTTTACTTCAAAAAGGCTTTTGACGCTATACACAGAGAAACTCTTTGAAGAATTGTAAAATCATATGGAATTCCACCTAAAACTTTGATGCTAATAAAAGCCTTCTACAACAGCTTTGAATGCAGTGTCATCCTTGGTAGCTCCAACTCGGACCCATTTGAAGTTAAATCTGGTGTAAGACAGGGATGTATTATGTCATCCATCCTGTTTTAATTGGCCAATGACTGGATGCAAAGGCATAAAACATCAGACAAGAGAAAGTGTATCTAGTGGACCATGTTTAATCAGCTAGATGACATAGCCATACAATCAACAACCAGCAAACACCTCCAAGAGAAGACCAACATACTAAACAACTTTGTCAAGCAAACTGGTCTGAATGTAAATGACAAGAAAACCAAGGAAATGTCAATAAACACCAGGAATACAACACCAATTACTATCAATGATCTGCCAGTAGACAGTGTTGAAGACTTCTCTTACCTTGGAAGCATCATAAGTTAAGATAATGGGACAGGAAAGGATATAAAGGCAAGACTATCTAAGGCACGTTTGCAAGACTTCATACAATCTGGAAGTCCAACCAGTACAGTTTAAGGACCAAACAATGAATCTACAACAGCAATGTAAAATCTGTCCTACTGTATGATTCAGAAACTTGGCGTGTTTTAGTAAGTGACCTTCAAAAAGTAGATGCATTCCATACTAGCTGCCTAAGAAAGATCAATAGAATATTCTGGCCAAATAAGATCAGCAACAAGAGCCTTTTGGAAAAATGTAATTTTAAGAGCATAACAGCAGAAATTCAAAAACGAAGATTTAGATGGTTAGGTCATGTGCTGAGAATGCCACAACACCACACACCTTAAACAGCTCTATATTGGACACCACCAGGAAAAACGAAACCAAGGAGACCAAGAATCACCTGGCGAAGAACTGTTACAGCAGAATTGGAAGCAATGGCAATGGATTACACATGGGACCAAGCCCAATACATGGCAAAGGACAGAAAGAAGAAGAGGAAGTTTGTTGTGGCCTTATGTTCCACTGGGGATGAAGAGGATAAGTAATTGCCACTGGATGTCGAACAGCCATATATCTATTATGACCAATGCACAGACAGAGATAACTGGTTAAATGACACCCTTTTGGATGTTTCTTGTGAAATAGTTGTTGGTATGAAATAAATACAAATGATAAATTTTTAACTTTAATAATTTTACAATTTAATATAGAATCACTTTCACAAAATACACAACATTTGTAGAAATATACAAAATATACAAGAAAAAAAATTATATAAATATATAAGAAACTTGCTTAACTGTAAGTTCTAGGTATCTACTATACATATGTATAATATGGATGGATTTAATCTTCACTTATCTATTCATAAAGATCCTTTAATTTCAAGTACACAAATTACAGCATAAGATTGACTTTCATAGTGTAAAAATGCCCTGCTGTTAATAAATGCTGTTTTCAGCACTTTATTAATTGAAAACCAAGAAATGCTACTTATAAAGAGGCAATATTCATTTATGCATGCTCAATCATTAAGTTGAAGTTCATTATGTGATACCAATATTAGAACAAAAAAACTTTATAAAATTGATTTCAGATCAAGGCACATATCAGATCTTACAAAAAAAAAATTCAACATCAGTCTGAACAAAATATGAAAAGGTCAAAACCTTTATTGGTAAAAAAAAAAGTGAAAAAAATTACTATTTCTTCACACCAGTATCTTGCATTTTTCATCCTTATAGTACCATTATATATAGCATAAAGCATATCATATAACACACACACATAAATTTGATCTCGACAATACACTAAACTAATTATCGATGCCTCGAGGGAAACCACTGCACTGAGAATAGTTAGGTTTTATATCGTGTGTAATTGATGACCTTATGATTATTCTGTTGCCAGGCAACTAGATTATTTCTATTACTTACATGATTTTGCAAAAATAATGTATTGCACTAATTTACATTGAACATGTTTAACTAAAGAATTTGGTGAAAGTACTTTTGTAAAATGGATTTCTGTACTTGTTGCAAATAGTTACAAACTGATATGTAGATGTAATTTTCTATCAAGTTTTAGAACAAAACACCTACTATAAGTCTAATTGGTTTTAAATTTTCACTCATTATATAAGGAAAATTTTCTCTTTTAATTTTCTGTATACAGGCACAATTTCCTGGTGGTGAGTTATATTGGTGAGTATCCAGTAAATCTAAGAAAACACTTTTGGTGAGTAACAAACAAACTTATTATTATATTAAATGTGCAACTTGTAACTTACTGTCAGTAAATACAAGATAACACGATAATGTTCTGTAAATCATGTGCTCAGAATAAAATTGCCTTTTAAATGCACTACACACATATACAGCACCATACACTGTGAAATTCCCTGCATATAAGCTAATATACATGGGCTAATCCAGATATCTAAGATGGGGAGAAGTTTTGGTATTTTCTGTTTAAGAAAGGAGCTATTCTTATAATTTTTCCAGGATAATCTTATATCCCTGTCAATGCTAAATGGAAGACAAAAGCACAAAGAAGAAGTTTTTACCCATTTCTCCCTCTAGATTAGGCCCTTATATAATTTTGAACCTCTTATAAAGTGAATCAGTCGAAATCAATAGGAACCACATATTCCATCTACATACACAAGTGAAATTATAAAAAAAAACATACAGATTTAGCATAACAATCAAACTTAACAAAAAATTCAATAAACATTAATAAACGGAATGATTTTTTTCAGCACATTATAACCACAAAGACATGTCATTACAATAAGCAATAAACAATAAACATTTTTTTAAGTCACGCTTATCTTACCTCTTAGAAAGATTCTTGTTAAAAAAAAAAAGGGAGTTTAAGGAAGTTGAAACTTTTTCAATAAAGTAAAACTAATTTTTTTTTATGTTTCAAATGGCTTTTAACTTTCTTCTGCAGTGAAAAGGCCATATAATCTAATTTGAATCTTTTTTAATAACCACTTAACAAGTTCAAATGAATAAAAAAAACATTCAAAGTGGCCTTTTCTAAAAATAAATATTTAAATAATATGTGTTTTTAATGAGATATAAGTATGAACAATCTGTTCATTAATATTTAAATCAAAGAACATCAGGAATATTTAAATAAGAGTTATTTGATGCAAGTTTTACAAACCAAATATAAAGTGGCACATATATCAAGACTCAATACTAGAAAATAACTTTTTAATATTAAACCTATAAAAAATTAGATTGAAATAAATCAATGTATTTAAAGTGAGGTGTCTTGGCAAGGAATATTTGTCACAGATAAAAATGAGACATGTAATGGCAAGACATAGCACCAACATTTCAAGTTTGCTTTGTTAATAGACATGTCTTTATAACAGAATTTACTATTCTGTATGAGTGTTCAAGAATAGTATATAAAACATAGCTACAGTTGAGTTTCTATCATAATAGAAGGGATTATGTTTCCCATATGAATTAAGAGGTACCTGTAAGTTTAAATGAGTTATAGACTTCTGAGTTATTTCCCTTTTCCATATCAATATAATATAATATGTAAAAGACTCTATTAGAAAATCATGAAATCTTAGTAAACAAAAATATTTTCACATTTTTCTGGTGACATTTATGTACACAAATTTATTTGTATTGTAATTTTAGAAAATATACAACAATTGGACACCAATAAAATGAACATAATAAACAAAGTTGCTGCCTGTGTTAAAAACAGCATGCACTAACAGTACCATAAGTTACAACTGATTTCTAAGAGCCAGAAATAAGCACCTTCATACTAGTAGATACTATGCTCCCATTCACAATGATTCTAACAACCTACAACCAGTGTAAATCTTGCATTAAATATACAAGTCACAACAATTGTTAGTTGTATGAACTTTGTGAAATGGGGAAATAGAAAGTGGTAGCACTAATTCAAATATTGATACTAATTTAATAAGTCAATCAGTCAAATTTCAACTGCAACGTCATGACTACATCGTAGTATAGGAGTATAAATTGTAATATTATTTTCATAACTTTTTAGAATAGTTTTAATTACCAATATATGTAGTTAAATATAGTTAAAAATTCTGGCAGACTAGGATTTACTATTGGCACCTTTGATAAGGGGAGACAATTTAAATGCTAAAAAATGCATAATTTACTGGATTTTAATATTTGTTTTTTTCACCAATGAGAAAATTAATACAAATGAAAAATTGCATACAAAAGATTCTCATGAACTTTAAATCGGTTTACTTTCAAGTGACAATGAACAGTTAAAATTTTGTTACCAGGCATCCCTAGATAGAAAATCACTGCTAATAAAGGGTAACCTCTTTATGAAGGGCAACTCCATAGAAAGGGTAGCCCTGTATGAAGGGCACTTCCTTATAAAGGGTACATAAATTGCACCCCTGTGTTCATTTATTTTAAAACGTGATTGTTTTTTATAGTAATTAAACGTATATTTCAGAAATTTATTATGAGTAAACATTAATAAAGAAATCAGAATTTGCTAAAGTAAATAATCAAACTTTTCAGAAAGGTCAAACCCGTTTATGGAAACAAAAATAATCATTATAAAAAAAAATACTTAAAGGCTGTCTGAAGCTGCTTACTTCATGTATTTTTTTTACAATGAATAGCTGCGTAATGCTTTTATCTACAAGTATAACAATGTATCCCTACAAATGTACAGGAAATGGATTTTATAAATACAATGGAGAAAATGGCGGTGGTTAAACAAGTGAACATGGTAAATGACTATATAAATAACAATGAGGATATTGCAGTATTTAGTCAGAACTACTTGACGATGGTGTTTCTAACTCCTTTAAAATTAACAACAAATTGTCAAGTCCAAATGAATATCCGTCTTCATGATTGCCATCTACCCATGGGGTTCTATGGTTTGTGGTTATACCTGAAGGTAGGGGTTCTGTCTTGCCAAAGTCTATCATCCATACATCTGCATTGTTAGTTTTGTCATGTACAAACAACAGGGAACTTCCAATCAGCTGTAAACAAAAAGTTCAAAATTTTAAACATTTATTTTGACATTTCTGCATTGTGTGACAAGGTTCCAACACTTTAAGTGGAGTAGGAACTGCTTTATACCCTTCTGGAGCCCCTGGATTTATCCCCGTTTTTGTTTTGATATGTGTTACTTGATCATTAGTTTTCTGTGTAGTATTTTTTAAGAATGTTGTTAGTCTTTTCTTTGTTTTTTTTTTTGGCCATGGTGTTTGGGTTTTTCTTTTGACTTTTGTTTGATTGGCAGGATTTTAACTCAATGTCACCCAAGTTATATCACAGCAAACAAGAATGTGTCCATAGTACACGGATGCCCCACTCGCACTATCATTTTCTATGTTCAGTGGATTGTGAAATTGGGGTTAAAACTCTAATTTGGCATTAAAATTAGAAAGATCATATCACAGGGAACATGTGTACTAAGTTTCAAGTTGATTGGACTTCAACTTCATAAAAAACTATCTTGACCAAAAATTTTAACCTGAAGCGGGACAGACAGATGAACGGATGGACAGACGGACGGACGGACAAACAAACGGACGCACAGACCGAAAAACATAATGCCCCTCTACTATCGTAGGTGGGGCATTAAAATCTAAATGAATTTACAGTATCTTTAATATCTACTGTAAAACAATATTTTGAAATCTTACCTCATGGCTCTTGAAAAAGTCTGATGATTCTTGAGTTGCCAAAATAGCTTTTAATCTCCTGATGTAAACTCCCTGTAACAAATAAAGTACAAATCTAATTTCTTAATTCTTTAGGTGATATAAATTGGTTTAAAAAGCTTACTGGTAATCCTTATTTTGATTTTGTATTTGTATAAGATTAAAGGATACAGGAATTAAAGTCTATACACTTACATCTTTAAGTATTAGAAGGTTCATTTTTTTTAAATGTGAAGATTGTTTACATTTTATAAGAGTTAAAATTAAATATGAAAGAATCAATCAATGCTGTGCTTGAAGCATTTCTCTGGATATATGGTAAGCATAAAAGATCAGAGAAAAAAGTTTGGAAAGCCAACTTGGCAAGGATACATAGACATGTTGGTTGCTTTATAACCAAAGACTAAACAAAATAGTCAAAATTTCTATGGTATATCCAAATGAAAAAAAAAACCAAACGGTCAAAATTTTCCATTGCCAACTTTGACTGGCAAAGTTGGAACCATTATTTTTGTTTAATTATCAAATCTATCACCTGATGTTAATAACTAGGTTAGGGTCAAGACAGACAATGAAATGTCTATGTTATTAGATGGTCTAGGATCAAAAGGACTAATGTGCTTCAAAGAATAATAGTTCATTTTCCAATAACATAAATAAAAAAAAATATGTTCACCTTGCACTTTCTTTTTGAATTTATTTGTCATTATGTTTTAAGTCATTTAAATAATTTTACCCTCATGAATTATTGAAATGTGGAATGGTGCTTTAGTAGGCATTTATAGTTCCCTGACATGTTTATGGTCTCAAAATATGAACAGTTTCAAATTAAAAAGTATATCACCTTACACAGTAACTTAAATAATCACTATACAAAATTAATGAACTAAATCAATAATTTAAATAATCACCTTACAAAATTAACGAACTAAATCAATAATTTAAATACATAAATTTTAAAATGTATCTTAAATTTCACAAAACATATGTACCTTGGTACTTTCTTAACATTATTTCTCTCATTGATAACAGGAAATAATAATAAGTACTGAACGGATTAGGCAACATGTTACATTTTTAAGATTAAGAAATTAAATAAACTGTTATCCCAGAGATATGTCTCGGCTTTTTGTAACTTTGATAACGCAAATGTTGAAAATAAAATAGCAATACTTTTTAACATGTAAGTTATGCAAATATTGAAAGTTGATGAACCATGACTGAAGGTACATGGCTAAACAATCTCCATGGAAATGAGATGTGTCAATGCTAATACAACTGCATACCAAATACCATTGACTTATTATAAGTCGTTCCCTTTAAACAAACCTAAACACAAACATTGACTTGTAAACTATGTAAAAGTTTCAAAGTCAATGAACCATGATGAGGTGGTGGGGCTATTTAATCTCCATGGAAACGATACTTGCAAATGGCAATAAATTTGCATACCAAATATCATTGACTTAACATTAGCAGTTCATCTTAAACTGATCTAATCACAAACTAATACATGTAAACTAAGCAAAAGTTTCAAAGTCAATAGACCATGACTGAGGGCGATTGATTGAAAACAAATTTATATATTATGTCGAGTTTTTACTTCATTCTATCAGTAAATTCAAATAAAAATTTGTGTATTTGGTTGTGTAAATGTTGACAATGAAAAATTAAATACTACTTTGACATTTCTAAACGGTAAAATCAATTAAAAGGTTAGCTTATAAACACATATGAACAACTAAGAAAAGATAACTCTCATCTTACCAAAACAATCTGATTGTTACCAATAAACAAAGATAATGCATCTTTCACTTCATTCCGTGTTTTTGTTTTCTTAAAATTTTTACTGGATGCACCATCCATTCTCTGAAAAAATAATAATACAAAAATAAATATTATGCTTTGTGCAAAAAGTAAAACATAGAAAAAACACCTAAATACTTGGTTTATAGAAAAAAAAAGTTCATGGGGAATTTACTTGTCATGTTGCTTTTCTGTGACAGCAGAATATGTGTATTTTTTAGAGAAGAGTGTATATCACTACAGATTTGCAGTGAAACCATTGACATTAGCAAAGATTAAAGGTCAAGGTCAGATGAACCTGCAAGACAGACATGAACACCTAACAATCATTCTCAGTATAAGTTAGGAATTCATGTGGTAAATAAAATGCTCCGCTGGGGCGCAGCTTGATACCACCGCAGAGGTCGAACCCTGAACAGTTGGGGCAAGTATGGACACAACATTCAAGCTTGATACAGCACTGAATTTGGATTGTAATTAAATATTTGACACAGCATAGGTTTCTGACACAGAATGAAAGTGGTCTAAGAACTAAAAAAATTTTAATTTACCTATTCAAACCATATCATTATTATTTGCTTTTATATATAAATCAGAAATAACCAATTTAAAATGGAAAATTTTAAGAAAAAAAAGGAAAAAAAAATCCCCCCCCCCCCCCCCCAAATTTTTTGAACCCCCTTATGATTCATCACCGCCAAACTCAATCCCAGCCTTCCCTTTGTGGTATGGTACCTTGCAGTACAATTTCAGAGAGATCCATACACTTGAACACAAGTTATTGTCTGGAAACTAGAAAAATGCTTGTTTTTTGGCCCCTTTTTGGCCCCAAATTCCTAAACGTTTAGGGCAATTACCCCAAAACTCAAACCCAGCTTTCCCTTTGTGATATGGAACCTTGCAGTACAATATCATAAAGATCCATACACTTACACACAATTTATTGTCCTGAAACTAGAAAAATGCTTGTTTTTTTGCCCTTTTATGGCCCCTAATTCCTAAAATTTTGAGGGAATTACCCCCAAAATCAATCCCAGCCTTTCCTTTGTGGTATGGTACCTTGCAGTACAATTTCAGAGAGATCCATGCACTTGAACACAAGTTATTGTCTGGAAACTAGAAAAATGCTTATTTTTGGTCCCTTTTTGGCCCCTTATTCCTAAACTTTTTGGGCAATTACCCAAAACTCAATTCCAGCTTCCCCTTTGTGATATGGAACCTTGTAGTACAATTTCATAAAGATCCATACACTTATACACAAGTTATTGTCATGAAACAAGAAAATTGCTTGTTTTTTGCCCCTTTTTGGCCCCTTATTCCAAAAATTTGGAGGCAATTACCCCCAAAATCAATCCCAGCATTCCCTTTGTGATATGGAACCTTGTGATACAATGTCAGAGAGATCCATACACTTACACACAAGTTATTGTCATGAAACTAGAAAAATGCTTGTTTTTTGCCCCTTTTTGGCCCCTAATTCCTAAAATTTGGAGGCAATTACCCCCAAAATCAATCCCAGCATTCCCTTTGTGATATGGAAACTTGTGGTACAATGTCAGAGAGATCCATACACTAACACACAAATTATGTCTGGAAGTTACAAAAATGCTTATTTTTGGCCCCTTTTTGGCCCCTAATTCCTTAACTGTTGGTACCATAACCCCCAAAATCAATCCCCACCTTCCTTTTGTGGTATTGAACCTTATGGTAAAATTTCATAAAGATCCATTCACTTAAACTAAAGTTAGAGTGCGAAAACTAATGTGTCTTCGGACGACGATGACGACGACGCCAACGTCATACCAATATACGACCACAAAATTTTTTTTGCGGTCGTATAAAAATAACTATACAAAATTTTATCCAGTCACTGAATCATGATTTTTATGCTGTCGCCTGAATTGTTAGCATTCCTGTCTTTCCCATTCTGAAACTTTGTTGCAGGTGAGACAAAAACATACAAGTGTAAGTCTGAGTAGTTTAGATTGTGATTTGGATGGAACTGTGTAATCTCAGAGACAACATATAAATTGTAAAACCAATTATTTCTATCCCACACAAAAAGTACTTTTTATAAAATGCTGCCCTGTTTGAATAATATTACTATATAGAGTTCCCAAACATCACACATCTTGATCCAACTCACTATATAGACTGTCAAAATCTTGTTTTAAACATATACTATTGCATAAACTGGTATATTTCAAATCTTTCTCCTCTTACCTTAATTCCTTCAATTCTAAATCCTAGATCTACAGATGAACTCATTTCATCTCTCCATTGCATATATCTTGGTTTTATAATTGACTTCTGTTTATGTTCCTCTGGTGTTGGAGCACTAGGATCAACTTCTACCATCTTTTGGTACATATCCTGAGTAAAAAATATAATAAAAGTACATAAATATATTTGAAATTCATTAGAGTCATACCCAACTACCAATATCAAATATATTTAATATATTGTAAATGGACTAGTCAATATCTTCTACTGAAAATTTATCATAAAAAATGTAAAAATTCTATTTGTATTAGAATAACAGCTAAATGACTACTGTAGATGTCATAGTGTTGTCTGTTTTTCTGTGACCTCTATATGGCATTGGTATCTTCTGCCGTTTTTTTATATAAAAACCAAAGTAAATAAAGACTACTATTGTTTCTCACATTACATCCTTCACACTTACCTTTCTGGGTTTTGGTTTTTCTTTGGCTTTTACTAGTTCTTCCTCTAAATACGTCCTGGTTCCCATCTTAATATCCATGACAAAAGGAGTATCAAAGTCACATAGCAAATCTTGTAACTCCAAGTATTCTGATGCAAGTTAAGGAACTATTATGGTTATCTCATGGCAAATACAAAAACCCTTGCTTCAATGTAGTCATTGCATTCTTAAACTGTACCATTCACCCATAAGATGAAAATAATTCAATTGTAATTGTTTTATACTTTTTCATCATTTTTTTCGCTTATGGAATTAAATTGCTGGCATGCAGATCTTGACATGGAATACTACCTTTGGTAAATTTTCACTAATAATGAATCAAGTAAATGTAGGACCAATTATCGACCCTTGAAGCCATTTAAAGAGAATTAAATTGCAACTTTTGGTTTACAAGTTGTGTGCAGTTGTACCCCTGTTTGATATCATTTACTTCATATGTTCTGAAAAATATTGAAATCAGGATGTAATTTCTCACTTGGTTTCAATGTAAACTATAACCCTTTATTGGCAGCCATTTTGGTTTTCCAGTTGACACCAAAGCAACAAACTTGTCAAAGTTTGGTTTTATTTATATTTTGTGATTCTGTGAACAGACGAACGCCGACATCAGATGATGGAGGACAAAATCAAGTAATATGACACATATTTCCTGTTAATGTCTAAATTTCATAAATAAACATACTGTGCTATCTTTTACTATTAAAACAATTGTATTTGTTAAGTTACTAAAGGATACGGTCAGTTTTTTTTTCTACAACTCCTCTGTATTCAGGAACATAGGGTCTTAAAATGTCCTTCATTAACTTTAAAAATGCTTTCTGTTCTCTATTGTCATACTTTTTCAAAACAGATCCTTTCTCTCCTGCTTGGAAATTTCCTGCAAAAAACAAAACAACTGTCAATATAATGACAAAATATCATTAGCAACTTTCACAGCATACAGCTGACCTTTAACAAAGAAAACTAAAGAGGAGGAATGGCTATATCTATCTAATTTAATTCTCTATCTATTTAGATAAAATGACCATCAGCTTAAAGCTAATTGTTTACTCTACAACCATAAATGAATTTATTACCCCACCCTTAGCACAAACCCCACCTAATTAAATAAGGTTGCACATTTGATATCACATAGCACTCTCTTCACAATTAGGCCAGTAAGCATACAGGGTACATAAACCCTTTAATGGTATTGCCTTACAGTTCAGTGTAGTATATCATCCTTTGTTCCTAAGACATTCACCTTTCAATTTAATAGAAAATCTGAGTATAAAAAGGACATATCAAATTTTGCAAACTATAACCAAATACTTTTTGGAATCCACACCAACTGTTTATGTCAAACAATTATAAGGCGAGTTCCGGAATAGTTTTTGTTTCAATGTGGAAACTGAAAAAGTTGTATCAAGTGACATTTATCTATGCACATGCCTGGATTTTTACACAAGCGAATTCATCAAATGTAATGATTTGGACTTGAAAGTCAACCACGTTGTTCTAGTTTGACCCCCTCACCCTGATGAAAACCTACCATGAAGTGACATCGCCCATATGTTGATGTTTTCATGCAGATGATTTTTTTTTGATTCCAACAGTGCAAAGATTTCTGACGTTATCATGTTACTATAGTGTGTGTATTAAATAAAATCTGACACGGTAAAACGAACTATCTCCGAACAGAAGTATTCCCCCTTTATAAACATTACACTCTTCCTAATTGTACATAAAGGACAAGGTGATCTTAATGACAATTGTTCTTTATAATTTAGTAGAGTATACTCAGTTATACCTTGAAAAGGCTAAGCAAATCTACCAGCAAAACTTATCCAAAATCAATCAACTATTAAATGTGGATTAGTGTTTACCTACAGTTTAACAACTGTTGTATTGTGTCTATACACCATTACATTGTATGATAATTAAGAAGTTGTCCTCAATGAAAAAATTTTCTTACAATACCAAGCAAAAAGTGTAAGCCATGTTGATTCAATTGTTATAGAAGATACTAAATTATGTAAAATTAGTTAAATTCTCAGGTTATATGCCTAAATTAAAGGTGTCCCATAACTGGTTTTGGTGTCAATTTGGGGTTATTGCTCTTCAAATTTAGGTACTTTCAGATTTCCAAAATAAGGGAACAACTGACAAGATATAAATTTTCTAAATGAACATATGGTGCATCAAATTAAACTTTGGTATTTTGTGAAAAGAGCACCAACATGGTTACCTGTCTGACTATCAATCAGAAACTTCAAAAGTACAACTAACTTTTAAACAGAATTTATTTTCTGATTCATATATATGTTAATCAATTGAAATCATCACATTTATTTATGACTTTTTTAGACCAATAAATCTTTCACATATGCACAGATTGTGTACCATAATTCATGGATTAACTGTAAAAGGGATATTCCCAAAATTGCATCATTTATATATAGCCTTTAAAAGCGAAAAACAGTGCACAAATTTTTGATCTGTAGTGAAAAGTTAATTTGCTCTAAAAAGAAAAAAAAACCTATTTGATTTATCAAAGGAGTAAGAATTAAGTAATTTTAATCCTTTTCAATCCCTGAATATATTCTAAATATTTTATGACCAATTAACTTAAATTGTTTGCTACAAACAAGAAAATAAACACTTCAACTAGAGGAACTATCTCAAGATATCAAAGCAGCAGGTAAAAGGATTTAAAAATTAAAATTTCATCTTGTACTAATATAAACTTATACAAAGGGTTACTATCATGGAAGAGACCAATAAAAATCTATTGAAATTCTAATTTGAATTTTGGCCAGATCCTGACTTAAGATTTATGATCCTCTAAGAAAGCCAATTTTAATCAAACTTCTTGACATCACAAGGATACTTAAACAAACCAATAAAACATTCTGACCTAATATCATAGACAGTTGGGACTAGCCTTTATACACAAATAATAAAAGGTTGAATCTTAAAATTTTAAACACCGAAATCTGGCACATGTATATGCTCAACGCAAGATTTGAAGCTTGTCAAGGGCTGTGGCTCTCTTTGCATTTGTTCTTGGCTACTTAGAAATTCATGTTTGTGTAAAATCTTTGCTTAAATACTTTAGACTTAATAACAACAAAAGTTGGAACTATCTTTCAAAACATAATTTACAATGAAATCTTAATAAAATAAAGCACTGAGAAAAAAAACAATGTTAACGTACTTCAACATCAGATTGTGTACCTATCTTTAGTGAGAAAAGCTGTCAATATATGCAACTTTCTAATTAAATTTTTGTTTTTGCCAATTAAGAATTTTGTGTTGAAGTCCAATGAATCTATTTACAACTTTTTTGGATTCAAGGTTATATAAAGCTTGCAATGCTGTGGCAGACATCTACAATGTAGGTTTTTATTTTTTGAAGAACTGGGTTATGTCCCCTTGTTTTTTAACCTTCATTTTGTATTCAATATATATGTAATGATTAGACAATGTTTTGGTTGGTTTTTTAGTGAATGCAGTCCTTTTTTGTCAAACTAATAACATGAATTGATTGGTTACATCTAGTGGCAAATATAAGGTACATATTCAAGACCTCAAATTACACAATAAGTTAACAAGGTAGGTTCTGAAAAGTTCAAACAAAATGAGGTATGATGGTGAATGTAAGTCTGATTAACAAAAACATCCTCTTGTTGCTTTAAGGCTCAATCTTATTCTATATAAAATGTTACCTTGGTGACCAGCTAATTGTATCCATGGATATCGATGTTTCTTAAACTGTTGTATAAATGGAGACCAAATGACTATATTTTTCATCTTCTTCCAATAAACTGAACTTTGCTGTAAATAGAATAATAGCAATTATTAAAAACATTTTTATCTTCCTCAAATAAGTTGAAAAGCAGTCATTTACAAAATTTTCATCTTCTCCAAACAAATTGAACTTAGTTTGTCAGGAGAAAAAGCAATGTTAGATCGAAAACATATCTATAATTAAATGAAATATAAATATGCCATTGATAGATTGTTGCTTGCTTAACATCAAAATACGCCATTGAAACGATATCATACACTTTTAAAAAAGATCAGTACACATGGTTGTAGTCTTGCTAGGATTTATTATTGACCTGCTATTTTCCATTACAGAATAACAGAAATAGATATTCTATTGACCTTGATTTCATAGGAACAGATGTAACATCTGGCAATAACAAAAAAATTAAAATTTCATGACTTACAATAGACATTCTAATGAGTTACAAAGTAGTTGTGTTGATCTTTAATGAGATAATCAACTTTCAATGCTATTTTTTAACAGAGTGTAATGGCCTTTTCTATTTGTTCATTGTTTCAACCTCAATGAACAGTAGAAAATTTGTAATTGAGCTCCTACATGTATCAACCAATTTGTGAGGACAATTTCAGAACTTGTCAGTGAAAATTAAGTCAACCTTCCTTCTGCTTGGAGAGAGTAGATAATTCTAAGTTAAGTTTAGTGTTCTCCCCAGGACTTTATATTATCATGGTACCACAGTGCTATATTTTTTTACCATGGTGCTATCTGAATAAATTTTATGATAGAATGTATTATGATGGTGATGCCATAATTTTAAGGATACAGTGCTATTTCAAATCCCATGGCGCTATTTGAAAATGCTGGGGAGAACACTAAAGATATGTTTAAGAAGAGATTAAGAGTATACATCAATGAACCAACAACCCATACATTTATATCAGCATTGTAGGAGGGAGTTTAAATGACAACTTTAGTTTTTTGCCACAATTACATAACTGACAAAGTTATTACCATCAAATAAGGTCCTGTTTTCCTCAAACATCCTTTTACCTGTAACATTTTCATGAACTTATCCATTAGAAATCATTTATGAACATACAAGTACTTGTACAATATGTACCTAATGATACCTTTGACAATTCATATAAACCACATCTTAAACATATAGCTTCAAAACATGACAAATATAAAAAAAAATCAGTAATTATATTGATATAAAAAAACCACCATGAATTTTCTATCGTATGACACTAGACCTTTTCTAAATATTGACACATCTTTACACCTATTAGGCATACTACAAATATAAACAGTTTGTCCCCAGAATAAACACGTTTTTTGCCTAGTAAAAACACTGTCACCAATGTTGACAATTTACAGGTATATAAAAAGTAAATAATGAGGGTTTTATCGTGTTTTCATGTACAGCCCACAATCTTGGTAGATCATCAATCATTGATATTTTATATTCTGTTCCTATATCAACTTTCTTGTGGTTAGCTACAAATATGTAGGATCTATTTTTAAAACATCCCAATTGGGAAGTTCAAATTATTCAAAAAAACAAAAACATTGTTTCTCTCTCGTTTCAAGTGCAAGAAAGATATAATAAAATGGCTTTATCTGGTGACTGCTTATTATCCCAAGGCATGTACTATATATTCAGGACATCTTTATTTATTTTTTTAATCATGAAGCATGATACAAAATAATGCTGGTTGGTTCAAGAAACTTTTTAAACAAGATGCTAGTACCCTTATTTGGTTATTTCATATGAGCTTCTAATAATTTATTCTATTTGCAGCAGATTAAAAACTCTTTAATTATCAATCCTGACATTTAAAGTCACCATCAGCTACATGTATTTGCTATGACTAACGGTATATATTAAATATAGAGATATCAGAAATAGCTTAAAATGTTACACAGCTTAACATATATAACAAGTTCAAATTCATATATCATCATTTCAAGCAATTATTTCTTATATGTTTCACAATGTCAAAATAGAACAAAAATTCATCTTTAAGACTATGTTTTTCTAGTTAAGGAGTCCATCTGATAATATTTCTTTTAAATTTCATAAAACAATGCAATAACATGAATGATCTGTACCATCCATATTAAAATGTTTGTTTTTTTTTAACTCTAACAAAATTTGTGAAACTGTGCCGTATCTGACTTCTAGAAAGCAGTGCTTACTTGTAATTGTATAGATTGCCATTAGCAGCCAAGGTTCATTGAAAGTAAGTGACTTCAAAGAACCAAAGTTTGTCAAAAGTGAGATTTAATCCAAATTTATTTTGTATTTTTACAACTCTCATTGACAGGGAGGGACATAGATGGTAAATTAGACATTTACAGAAATTCTTAGACAGAATGATTCAATTTTTCTTTGATACAGTGCACAACCCAATAATGGCATGTTAAAAGGATTGAAATGGGTTTTTTTTTCTATTCTAGGTGACATACTTTTGTTTATTTATCAAATGTCAATGTACGTCATACATTCATTTCAAATTAAGGGTATGCAAATGATAACACCACACCCTTCATGTTTCTAAAATACATAATAGTAATTTACATCTATATTTGTGGTAAAATAATTTATATATGTGACGTGAATTTAGAATTTTCTAAATCCACAGGTATGTCTCAGTTGACTTTGATTATTATTTAGGTAACTGAAGACCTCTTTTATCAAATTCTCATCTATAATTCATGACAATAAATAAATAAATCCCTTTAAAAAGAATTATGTTATAGAGCCTTTTGAAATCTAGTATTAGTTAAATAGATAGCTCTTCGATCAAACCTATACATAGAAAATATCCTAAACTGAATTGAAGTGGTTAAATAGCATATCATGCAGACAGCTGTCTTCATAGTTTAAAATTTCAAAAATACAGGCCATCCATCCTGATATTGAAAACGTTATGTTAGAAATCCAAAACTTTACCAACATATATAATATCACAAACATTTTGTATTAAATGCATATATCACACTCATCTACACACTTACATAAAAATGTACATGTATCTCCTTACAACGTATTGGTATTGTACAAATGTAAAAAAATGAAACAAGTTTTAACAAGTGTATGACTGACTAGAAATATTCTATTGGAATATTTGTGGATATGACATTAAAAAAAAAAATTAGAAAAAAAATTTCAAAGAAAATTGATACACATAAAATCTCATACATGTGATACAATATTTCTTCAACTATTGATGTGACTTTAACCCCCTACCACCCCTTTGCTACAAAACACCTTCCCTTCCTCTGTAATAATACTGGATTCCTAAATAAGCCAATGGTAAATAAGAATTCCTACAGCAAGATTCATGCGACCTGTAAATTGTTGAAGTGTGCATAAAACATTTTACTTGTCACATCATACATAATCACTATTAAATATTGCTTTCCTAGTTGGAGGAGGTATATTTAATTAATATACTTCATTTAATAATCAGTTCAACACCAAAGACAGAAACTGACAAGAACAAGGAAGTGACCTGACCTTGACATTTATAGACATGATCATTTATTTTAAGATTTTTTTAGTTTGTTTTTTTACTAAATATAAATGTCAAATTGAAGTATACATAACATGTTGACAAAAAAGAAGACTTTGGAATTGACTTTCAAAAGTATACACTTGATAAATCTCTAGGAAATTACTCTTAAGTACTTCCATATCGATACAAACCCTGAATTTTACACAGAAATACACTATCATTATTCTACTTTTCTAAGTACTAAGGCTCCTCTATGAAACAAATCAATGTTAAAAAAGCACAATAAAATATCCCTTAAAATAAACCGCCATATAAAGATCACCTCCTCATCGCCAAAGACCCCCTTAATTGTCTCATAAATACAGGTTTGACAGTATATGCAAAATAATAAAATCCCCATATTCTTTGTAAAAATAATCCTATAAGTGCATGTATAACAATTAGGTATGTATACAGCATACAAGTATTTTGTTTAAATATCTTTTTATTAACTTGTTTACATATGATGCTTCTTCCTCATAAAAATTACCCAAAATAGTTATACATGTTTTAGCTATGGAACAGTAGCTTTTATGTGTTGTTCTTTTTTTGCTGCAGACCACAAACAATAAAAAGAAAACCACAATAAACGAAAGCAATGATAGGATAAATACATTGTTTACAAAGATATAAAGAAGCCAATGAATGATATATATGTATATCACCACTAGATCTCTATTGCTGTTCTTCATCTTAAAAGTTGCTCGGATTTTAACACAAATGATGAGTCACAGTCTTTAAGGTTCTTACTTGTTTACACAGACAAAACACCGTAATTCTTTACATACATTGATATTCTAAAAATACGTAACTGAAGATAATGAAATTGCATAAATTATGTGTCAGTAGCATATACTACGAACAAAAAGTTATGAATACCAAAAAATTTAACAAATTAAAACATATAAACTACGCTACCTTATCAAAATCATCTGCATCAGGAACAACCTTAAAATTTTCTTGATATACGAGTCGCCTCATGTTCTGTCTAACTCTTGTTGAGGACATGTTTTACAAAAACCATACGACTCTTGTCCTCCTACATCAAGTCTTTGACAATAACTACTAAACTTTATATTTTGGGCTTACATGTCATCAATCTATGTTGTCAAGATTGACAGTAAATATGACAGGCCAAATAAGTATATAGACCTGTACAATACACAATACAATGGAACCATAAATTACAACTGTTACTTATCACGTTTTTTTAATCGTAATAACCAAAAGTGTTATTATGACGTAGTATTAACTTTCAGAGTGACGAAACAGAGCTGTTGGACCTTATTTTTTACTGTACTTGTGCTGTTTGCAATTTCTAAATCCTTATTTGTCTATCTAGAGGTAATAAATAAATCATACAACTGCAATAATTATACATAAAGAAGAAGGGTAACACTGTGAGAAATCCATACATGTTTTAGAAAAAAATACCTGGTAAAACAATGAAGGTTTTGATGAGAATATGTAAAGGACATGGA